TATATCAAAAATCGAATATCTTACTCTCAACTAATAGCAAAAGTCTATCTTATCACACATGTGTGTTTGTGCCCTCCAGTTGCCTGTTTCAATTTCATAGGCAGGAATGCTCACAGGTGGTTTTGCCCACCCTTTACTCTGCAGTGGCTCTCAACCTGTGGGTCCACAGATGTTTTGGCCTTCAACTCCCAGAAATGCAAACAGCTGGTAAACTGGCTGAGATTTCTAGGAGTTGTAGGCCAAAACACCTGGGGACTCACAGGTTGAGAACCACTGGCCTACATGATCTGATATTCTCCGCCAATTTTCAATCCAAGCACTCACCAGGGCTGACCATGCTTAGGTTCCAAAATGAGACAAGATCTTGTGCCATCAGGGTATCACTGTTTCAAGATATAACCCTAGAGTATGGAGTCTTTATCAAAAATATATTTCTCTGGTTTGTGAAGGGAAATAAGAGACTGTACAAAGGCAGAAAGTATTTATTGGCTAAGCCAGTTGAACTAGGAATGTTTATCTCTCAGTTGTTATGAGGATACAAATAGAGAAGAAGACCATGTATGAGACCTACAACTTCATGGAGAAAGGGCACAATATAAACATAACAAGCAGACCTATTGATACATTTATAGGTAAAAGGTAAAGGTTGTCCCCTGGCATTAAGTCCAGTTGTGTCCGACTCTGGGGATTGGTGTTCATCTCCATTTCTAAGCCGAAGAGCCAGTGTTGTCCATAGACACCTCCAAGATCATGTGGCCAGCATGACTGCATGGAGCGCCGTTACCTTCCCGCCGGAGCGGTACCTATTGATCTACTCACAATTGCATGTTTTCGAACTGCTAGGTTGATAGACACTGGGGCTGACAGAGGAAGCTCACGCCGCTCCCCAAATTCAAACCTGTGACCTTTCAGTCAACAAGCTCAGCGGTTTAACCCACTGTGCTACCGAGGGCTCCTTTATATATTTACATTCATTCATTCATTCATTCATTCATTTACAATGGGCCCTTGGTATCCACTGGGGTCTGGTTCCAGAACTCCCCATGGACATCAAAATCAATAGATGCTCAAGCCCCACTATATACAATAGTTTAACAAAATGTTGTTTCATATATAATATGGCAAATGAGGATTTGCTTTTGGGGTTTGGGGATGGGGAAAGATATTTTCAAGCTGTGGGTGGTTGAATCTATGGATACAAATGGATGATTGCATCTATTTAAATTCATGAGAATGTATAAAAATGGGCTTCTGCTGCTCAGTACCAAAATTCACAAAGGTTTTCTTTGTAAGACAAAGAATATTATATTTTTACAAAAAGCTTGCTATCACAATGAAGAGGACAACAGTACAAAATAAGACTAGTTGGAAGACATCTGATTTTGTTCCACTGGAAAAAATAAAATTCCTTCCTGGCCAAGAACGCCAATTCATACAGAGACCAGACAATTGTGATTGCCAGAGGGGAAAACTGCATAAAATAGACTGGCTGTCCCACTGGTTCCCTGCAGTTTTACCATGCTTAAATGATCTGGAGTCAACTTCAGATTCGGATATTCTTTTCTCTCCTTGATAACTGTTATGGCCAGAGCCACAGTTTTACACTACATTTGCAGATGGATAGATTATAGTTAACCCAATACAAACCCCCTCCTTCTATCCCAGATCTGTAAATCAATTTCAAACCTTTCTTTCATGCTCAAGTTAAGAACATTTCGTAGTATTAACTATGATTAATAGAAGAACACATAATAACATTCAACCACACAACTGAAGAAGGAAGGGAAAGCTTACACCACAAAAAGGAGCAGGTAGAAATGAGGAAGCCCACAATTCACAGTTTATTAAGATATGGCAAACCTAATGTTTGTCTTGAGCCAACAAAATAAAAATACAAGAAATAAACAAATGTTCTGTTAATAGGTCTTGCTTATATGAACATCAACCTAACGTTATAGTAACATTTATTTATTTTATTCATTTATTTACTCTATTTATATCCTGCCTTTCTCTACCCTGAATGGGACTCAAGGCGGCTTACATAGAGGCAGTTACTCAATGCCTTTAAAAACATACAATTACAAAAAAATAGAATTAAATTAGATTAAAATTAAAAACATATTAAACGTTTAAAAACATTATATTACATATTAAAATCACGCCATCCATAGACATAGTTCAAGTCATCCCATAGTCATTCCATACATCCCAGATCTGTTAATTGCACTCAACTACTCTCCAAAGGCCTGATCCCACAGTCAAGTTTTAACCTTTCTTCTGAAGACTAGGAGGAAGGGGGCTGATCTAATGTCACTGGGGCAGGCGTTCCACAGCCAAGGGGCCACCACTAAGAGGGCCCTGTCTCTTGGTCCCACCAGTCACGCCTGTGAAGGAGCAGGGCCTCCCCAGACAATCTTAATCTCTGAGATAGTTCATAGGGGGAGATATGTTCAGACAACATGCATGACAAACAAATGTTCATAGAGAAAGAATACATTGTGTTTGGAGATAATTTTTAAAAAATGTTCAGTCTTCCTACTTCGTTATTAAAATGTGTTAACTTACAAAACAAGAATACTGGAGCATGGAGCACAATAACCATATATCAGGGGATTTGTGGCCTGGGAAAACAAACAAAAAGTCTAGAAGTGTCCAGAAGTTTACTTCTGACTCTGGAGAACTTAAAAAAAGTGGAACCTATGCAGAAAGCAAACTGGAGTGAACAAAAGAAATTGTAGGTTTGAGAGTTATAAAAACAGCAGGGGGGGGGGGTACATACATGTTCTATGCAAACACACTGAGTTACAAGTTAAACACATGAAAGGGCTTTTGTGTAATCAGCAACCCCCATCTACAGATATTGGAAAAGTTACTTTAAGGATCATAATTTCAAGTATCAAATGGAAACATTGGTTAGGGGATTCAGAGAGCTGTATCCAAAAGAGTTACTTTTCCAACATCTGCCCAATTAGACAACTGTACAGGAGTCATGTGTGCAAACTATGCAGTGTGTTGTGCTATTCAAGTGACACCCCCCTCCCGAAAAAAAGTTTGAAAACATTTTTAAAACAACAATCCCTGGTTCCGCTCACTGTGATTTATCTTTGAACATCACTCCAAGATTTCTTATTCAAATTCTTGGACGCTCCCACAATTCAATCTTTAGTACGTGGAAGTGTATTTTTGGTACTATCTTCATACTAGCTCTGTGTCAGCATCCAAAGGGAACCACCACAGTAATTTCAACCATCTGTCATGCCTCAGAACATGGCCAAAATGTAGCTAAGCAACCAAAATAAGAAATCTGGACATTTTATAGAGTGTGACATGGAGCTCTCAAAGTAATTGGCAATCCTCCTAAGACTTATACAGTTTCCTACAAGCATTTATCTAAGACTTTCCGTACAAAGCATATACAGAAAACAAACATACTACCACCACAACCATAACGTAAGAGTCTTACCAGAAACAAAGTATGAAATGCATAAAAGTCACAGGCAGGGTACATTCTCGACCAGAATATCTAACCTTAAGTGTCACAAACATGTTGTTTGACATGAAGTTACTTTTTGGAAAATGGAATTTGGAAACATTCTAAAGGTTCTGCTGAATTAAAATCAAATTCTCTAAATATTTTATAGTCAAAGTTAAAAGGAATACAATGGACTCAGGAAAGCTCTGACCTTCCTGAAAGTTTTTACTGTTCCATTTCAGCTCTTTTAGTTTCCCATAACTAATTACTTGGCCAGCTAACTCACTATATTTGAAAGAGCCTCTTTATCTCACATCTTTATTCACTACAATGATAACCTTTTACTCCATCTATAGTTTTATTGGAATTATTGAAAGTTAAATGTAACCTTTTACTCACCTCGCAAAAAAACTTGGCACTATACAATTACACACTGTTTTATGCTAAGAAGCAAATGATAAGACCAGTTAGCTGGTGAATTGCCTTTTTTCTGTATTAGGCTGGATCTACAATGCTACATAATGCAATTTGAGCTTCATTGTAGTGTCGGTGTAGACCCATACAATGTGGTTTGTTCAAATTGCCATTCTCAGCCAATGTTCTCAATCCTGTTATATGCCTGCAAAACATGGACAGTCTACAGATGTCACACTCAACTTCTGTAATTACTCCATCAGTGTTTCCTCCGAAAAATCCTGCAAATCTCTTGGGAAGACAGGCGGACAAATGTCCATGTGCTGGAAGAAGCAAAGACCACCAGCACTGATGCAATGATCATCCACAATCAACTTTGCTGGACTGGCCACTTTGTCCGGATTCCCAATCACTATCTCCCAAAGCAGTTACTATACACCCAACTCAAAAATGGAAAACAAAGTGTTGGTGGACAGGAAAAGAAATTTAAAGATGGGCTTAAAGCCAATCTTAAAAACTATGGCATAGACACCAAAAATCAGGAAGCGTTCCAACTGGAGCTCAGCTGTTACCAGCAGTGCTGTGGAATTTGAAGAGGCACAAATAAAGGGCAAAAGGGATAAACATGCCAAGAGGAAGGTACCTCAAGCCAACCCTGACCGGGACCATCTTCCACTAGGAAACTGATGCCATCACAGTGAAAGAACAGGCAGGTTAATAATAATAATCATCATCATCATCATCATCATCATCTTCATCATCATCATCATCTTTATTTATACCCTGCCACCATCTCCCCGATGGGGACTCGGGGCAGTTTACATGAGGCCAAGCCCAAACAACAAATCACAACAGAATAAAACTGAAAATGCAAACAATAAAGAATAGGTCTCTACAGTCATCTAAGAACCCGCCACCAAGACCCTACACTTGGAAGGCAATCGTACTTGGTCATGAGTGATTGCCGATGAGATGATTTGGCAATGTAGGTCCAGCTCCAGATTCAGATCAGATTTGCACATAAAGGGCTCAATTTAAAAAAAAAAAACTTTGTCCTCTGAAGCAATTTTAATTTCAGCTTTGCAGTAATGATGACTAAGTTTTCAGTACTCACAGGCTTACCATCTGGACCAGGTTCTCCAGGGTAGCCATGATTCCCAGGTTGTCCAGGATCGCCCTAAGGAGAAGACAAAGATGTTAGTACAAAACACAACAAACAGAGATCAACAACTTACATGTTGCATTACTTTACTCAGCATCTTATTGCATGGCTGCTGTTCCAAATTCCATCCTGGAATCTTGGCTGATGCTCATGATCATCAGGATGACAGGAAAATGATGTGGAAAAGCAATATTTTTTTCCTTCTTTCCTTCCTTCCCGATATCATCTCAAACTGTCTTTAAAATTGGCTAAAAGCACAGTTTTAAGGTTGCTTTATTGCTACAATGTGTGTGCAGGAGTGCATGTAACCACTGGAAAGAGGTTTATGAAGGATGCCAACAGGGTGGCCCCTTTTCCTTCCCTCCTTCCTTATATATTCTCATATACTTTATCTAAAGACATTCACTTTTAATTCAGTTAGCCCTCTAATTCTGAGACAAACCTGGACACCTTTGGCTTCTGAGTTTTGTGAAACTCAGAATCGACTGGTTTTCACAGAAAGCACATTGATGTGGATTCAACAAAATTGTTTCTCTCCCTTTTAGAAGAAGGAATTGAAGTTTTCCAGTACTGAATCTCAGCCATACTCTTGGGTGTGGAGAGGGAGAGGGAGTAACAATTCCTAGCCTGTTGTTTTATCAAGGAAAGTCACACTTCTGCATACACTCTGATAGTGTTTTTTTTTTTAAAATGTGGAGGGGAGCCTTGATTCTCTCAAATGTTTCCCTGAAACACAGAATTTGTGGGTCAAGGAGCCCACTGGAGACGAACAAACTCTCTCGATATTCTCAGATGTGGGAGACGGTGCTATCTTTTCGGCCTGAGAGTCAACTGCAAACCCAATCAGTTTCTCAAAGTGGAATTAATGGGAGAAGGTGCATCTTGTCCTTTTCCTGAAGCATCAAAGCATTTAGAGCTAGTCCTGCTCTTCAGGAAATTACACTTTCACAGTCCTAAACCCTTGGAGGCAAGCCCAGAGGCATTTTATGTAAGAGCTGGTCCTTACAATCCAATCCTTAATCTCTCACTAAGGCACATTCTCACTGACTGCTATTACTGTTTCCATCAGATATTGTCTTATGCATGATATTTAAGAAGTTAACAGACTTTTATAACATGCATAACAAACTAAATAAAAACACTTTGAACAAATGTCTGCTGTTAGGATATGCTAACTGACTGAATGTCTTGCCAACCTAAAGACAAGCTAAAGTTGACTGATTTTAATTTTGCAGGATGGTCTAACTATTATGACAAATGAAATAAAATAGCCTGTGGAAATGTATTGATTTATTGTATTCAAATTGCTCTATTTTAAATCAAACATAGTAATAATCACCTCATTTATTCAGAAGCCATATTTTTGTATGCCAATTTGTTTCAGGGGTGGGCTTCTAAGTTGGGACTGGGGGCTTCAGAAAAGGAGTTGGTGACCTATCTTTCTTCTTCCTTTCCTATAATGTAGTTGGCGATGGATGAAATTAATAGCAGAAACAGCACAACGAAGTGGGTGGTGTATAGAAGCAGCAAGACAACAAAAACTCCAACTAACCGAATCCCAATAGTGATCTCTCTGATTTCTCCTTAGTTCCATTTCCAAGAACTAAGGGCCTTCTACACAGCCTTATAACCCAGAATATCAAGACAGGGAATCCCACAGTATCTGCTTTGAACTGGAATATATGGCAGTGTCAACTCAGATAACCCAGTCCAAAGCAGATATTGTGGGATTTTCTGCCTTGTATTCTGGGAGCCCTTTGAGCCCTTCCACACAACCCTATATCCCAGGATATCAAGGCAGAAAATCCCACATTATCTGAATGTGGACTCAGATATAACCCAGGACCTTCCACACAGCCCTGTATCCCAGAACATCAAGGCAGGAAATCCCACATTATCTGAGTGTGGGCTCGGATAACCCAGTCCAAAGCAGATATTGTGGGATTTTCCGCCTTGATATTCTGGGATATAGGGCTGTGTGGAAGTGCCCTATGCTATATGGTTGTGTGGAAGAACCCAAAGCTACTAGACACCATATTTGCCATTTAAACGATAGATCAATAAAACTCCTTGGCTACCCTAGTCATTGATTTTTGGCGCCGATCCCAAAGTAACTTGCTATTACACCAGCTAATCATAATGGTAGAATACAACCTGCTGCTTAATACCTAATGCCAAACCCTTTTCAAAATTACTGCATAAAAGGTTGAATGAACTGGGGGCCCTTCCACACAGCCCTATATCCCAGACGATCAAGGCAGAAAATCCCACATTATCTGAGTGTGGACTCAGATAACCCAATCCAAAGTAGATACTGCAGGATTTTCTGCCTTGATATTCTGGGATTTAGGGCTGTGTGGAAGTGTCCTGGGAGTCTATATACACGTTATTTACTTTCAGGAGGAAAAAGTGTTCCAATTAGCTTCCCCACTTTGAGTGTAGCCCTTCTTTCTTTGGTTTGAAACATCCTTTGTAGTAGACAGAGCTCAACTCAATCAAAAGGTTTGGACATGATAAATGAACTCAACACTCACTTTGGGGCCTGCTGGTCCTTGTTTACCTGGAGGACAGATACAAGGAGGTGGTGTAGATCCGACGTCACTAGGTCCATTCATACACTATCAAAAACAAACATTATTTTCTGATATATATACACACACACACACACACACAGAAATAACATTACATTTATTAACCGCCTACTTTTTACCATGAAAACCCCACAACATTCAAAAAGCAGGCATGACTGTGATTTCAGAAGCCCAACATATCAATGAAATAAGAAGCTGCCTCCATTTTCAAGTTGAATATATATGTCCTCAATCAGTAGTTACAATGATAATGAAATATTTATGATAATCATGGTAAATAAAAAATAAACAACTAAGGTTCCTATGAGACTACATACCTAGAAGAGACTACATGATTCCATTTTGAGACGTTTTCCATGGTTAAAATCAGCTGCTTGGGGTTAGAGGCAGATGATTCTATTGTGCCCGTAAATGAAATTGTATCCCACAAAGGAAGTTGAGGAAATTGTGCCACTTGCTGCCCAGATTTGCAAGCTCCAGAGCCCTACCATTTTTTCTCTGCTCAAAAAATGAGACTTGGAGGAAAAGTGGAACATAAATCCCTGCCCACCTACCCCCCCCCCCAAAAAAAAATCCCAGAAAAAAGCAAGCTTTTTCTTTCAAAGGAACCTAGACTCAATACTTGGCATCTCCAGATAATAATAAAAAGATCAAGTAGCAGGATGATTGGAAAGACATCTGTAAAAGCTCCTGGGAGTTGCTTCTGCTCAGATTAGGGCAGGAATGGAAAACGTGTGGGTTCTCCAGATGTTGCTGGATTGCATCTCCCACTATCTCTCATTCACTCGCCAGAGCTAATAGAAGTTGTCGTTCAAGATTTCCAAAAAGCCATAAATTCTCAGCTTTGGCTCAGAGTAGATAATATTGGGCTAGAAGTAGAATAGTGCGACATGGTGGAAGGCAGTTTCCTATATTCTTAAGAAACAAAAATTAACCACTTCCAGAGAAAGCAAGCCAAGAATGGTGAATCATGCAGAAGGACGGAGGACAGGCTCTTCTGAAGATGGGTCATTCTTAATCTTACATGCTCCCAAAGAAAACGTTTAGAGCCTTAGAGTAAAGTCATAATTATTTTTTTACAAAATCAGTAATATTTGTGTATTCAGAACTACGAGTATTATATTGCTTATATTAACTTCAGCCCTGAACAGAACATGTGCCTATGGGATGTCATCAGCTGTTAATTCTACTATCAAATAATAAAGTAACAAGTCTCCCATTTTTGACACACAAGAAATGGTTCTACAAAAAGTTTTCTCTGGAGAGAGATGTTTCTTCAAAGGGAAACATGGGAGAAATTTCCATTGAACTGTGCTTATGCTTTCCACTCAATTAATATTCATACAACTTCGCTTCATTGCCACTACCCTTATAAAAACATTTTAATTCTAAGTGGTGTGGATTAACATACCAAGCTCATTGCAAAAGTAAGCAACAGAAAAAGTTTCCAGAATTAGTCACTTTAAAAAAAAAAGGATTTGAAAGTACAGAGCCAGAAAAAATGCCTTAATACTAAAAAAAAAAAAAAAAAAAAGTCAGCCAAAATGCACTACCCAAGCATTCTCATCTGACAGTATAATGGTGAATTCACTATAAATATTAAAATACTACCTTAATGCCAATATGAACAGGAATGATTTTGGCCTACCTCTCCATTCTGGAATGAAAAGAAGAAACATTTTTATAAATACTTCCAAATACTTTCAAATCATAAACAGATATGAATGTCTATATACACACCTACACACAATTCTATCCAACACCCAGAACATCTGTGGCCAAGCAACACATAAATGTAGTCAAGATGGCTGAGGAGTCCTTTACGCATACCAGAAAAGGCAATGCTGATTCAAAGCAGAGTGCTAGAGATCAGTGACAACAGAGTCTGCACAGCCAACTGCAGAACTGGCTTTGGGTCTCACAATGTCCACACTGCATGGTCCTGAGGTGGTCTGGTGGCTGGATGGCATCTGTACTGTCCAGCAGTGCTGAAACCAGTTTAGGACCACCAGAATTGTCATCCTTACCTAAAGTTAGGTAAGTTACTTAAGTTAATAACTTAATTTAACCAAGAGTTCCACTCTGGAGGTTGAAAAAGACAGAGTATAAATGTTCCAAATAAATAAATAATAACAATGAACAAACAGGCTAGAAAAGGCTGCAGCAGTTTGGTTTTGCCTGAGTGTACTGGGAAGAGCAAGATTTCCTACCTCTGCTTCCATCTTCTAGCTGCTGCAGAGGCCCCATCTACACTGCCATATAAAATCCAGATTATCTGCTTTGAACTGGATTATATCACAGTATAGACTCATATAATTCAGTTCAAAGCAGATAATCAGAATTCAGAAACTAGTTAATATGGCAGTGTAGATTCGGTCTTAATTTGCAACAGCTGAGTTAAGAGGGGAATGTGGAAGGAGGAAGGACATGAGGAGAGAGAAACTGGGTCATTTGGAAAGCAACTGAAAAATTATTGCAACAATAGATTAATCAGGATTGTCCTTTCCATGTTAATACAGTTGGGAGGTATAGCACAGATATACTCTATCATTTTTTAAAAAGGAAACCTATCAAGGGTAGCTATTTTAGTCATACAGAAAAATACACCCAATTCCAAAATCCACAAAACAGCAATATCTTCATTGGCAATCAAAATGCAGAAAATCCATCATGCAAGTTTGCAAAGCTCCACTGGCTTTTCTATCAGGTAAAGATATTTAGAGTCATACAGGAGAAGAAAAGAGATAATATGTATCAGGACCCTTCCGCACAACCATGTAATCCTTTGATGCAATGACACAAGCCAATTTTGCAGTTTTGAACTCTGCTGAACAAGAGTAAATTTACATTTTCTTTTTGTGTGTTGCTACTGTGTTTTTGATGGACAACATGAATGACAGTACATTTGCAGAAAAATCAATTCTGGGAATTCTTCAGAAAGACAATAACCCTTTTCTAAACAAAATCCTAGGCAAGTCATTTATCTTAATTCAATTATAGAAAAATATTATTTGAAAAGATAGTAAGCCTTTTATAAGACACCCCCTTCTTTCCACAGTTTATTTAATGATATTTCAAAATCCTTACAAAGTTTCCCTAACATACTTACAAAGCCAGGTATTTCACAGGCTGTTTCTCGGTTGTTTTGTTCAGGGTCACAGTAGATTCTTAGCTTTTGAACATCAAACTGTAAGACAGATATGATAATTCTTATAAGACCCTTATTTCTGGAAATATGCTCATCTTCTGGGCATCTACTTAAAGCGAAGCTTCTTTTTGCTCTCTTCCCCATTATAATAATCTCACTTGAAAAAAAATCCTTGAAGTTTACAGATCAAGCCTGAAATTCAGCGCTGTATTCATTCTCTACCTCTACTTCAATTCCACTTCCTATACAAGCAGCATGAGAAATAACATAAGAACCATTGTAACTGTTGGCTATTTTCCCAGTTTAATGGGAAAGAATATATCTGGGTACCTTCTTCTATGCAACATGTGGCTATTCACTTTCCAAACAATTATTGCTAGGACACACTAGGCTAAGGTGATCCAAAGCATTCAAAACAGTCATTCGAGCTTTCATGTACAACATTGCTCTCTCAAATCCTCATCACACTAGAGAAGGAATCCACTCTAAATCCGGTTTCTGCCTCCTGCAGAATTCTGGGGTTTGTAGTTTAAGGAGGCGCTTTTAACAGCCTCACTAAACTACAAAGCCCAGAATTCTGCAGAAGGCAGAAACCGGATTTAAAGTGGATTCATTCTCTAGTGCAGTGGTTCTCAACCTGGGGTCCCCAGATGTTTTTGGACTTCAACTCCCAGTAATCCTAAACTGGCACATGTACCTTTTGATGTCTTACATCAGTGGCTCTCAACCTGTGGGTCCTCAGATGTTTTGCCTTCAACTACCAGAAATCCTAACAGCTGGTAAACTGGCTGGTATTTATGGGAGTTGTAGGCCAAAACACCTGGGGACCCACAGGTTGAGAACCACTGCTCTAGTGTGATGAAGTGGTCAGATACTTTAAATAAGGTGTAACAAAGACTGAATGTAGCCCATTGCTTATGGAAAGTCTGTTCCCTTCTCCTGAGCTATACTGTAAGACAGTGGTTCTCAAGCTGTGGGTCCCCAGGTGTTTTGGCCTACAGCTCCCATAAATACCAGCCAGTTTACCAGCTGTTAGGATTTCTGGGAGTTGAAGGCAAAACATCTGGGGACCCACAGGTTGAGAGCCACTGCTGTAAGACATCAAAAGGTACATGTGCTGCTTTAATCATGATCTGACTTGGTTGATTGCAGTATGAATGCTATACTTCCATTGCCCCCTGCACTAGTAGCTTTTCAATTTCAAACAGTATATTGTGAAATTGTACATTGTAAAGGGGCTAAGGGATCCTTAGCTCCTGTGTTATTGCTCCTGTGTGAAGGAATATGCGAGGGTGTTACAGGTGATGAGAGAGAAAGGTGTGTGTATATGGTAGGTTTGCTGCCACCACCTCAAATCACGGTTTGAGGAACTGTCTAGTAGTTGTAGCTGAGGTAAAATGTCCCTATACACTGGTTCTTCTTCTTGGCTCCCTTTCTTGTGACTGAACTGCAGAGATGTAGAGGCTGAGTGGAACTAGCTTTATATGACAAAACAAGGCTGAGGCAGATTAAAAATAAACTAGAGAACAGGTTTATTGAACTATTTGAAACAGACAACTCATTACTGAGAGGCACATGTGCATAGTTGGTTTCTGAGGCACAGACTTATAAAACAAATGGTTGCTTAAGAAGGAGTAACTTTTCTTTGACGTGAGTTACTCTCCTCACACTATTCTATAACAAGTAACAGTGTGTTTCTTAGACCAAACGCCCTGGCTGCCTGCGAGAGTAACTAGGATCCTTCTAGACTACTCTGCACTGTAGGGAAATAAACCCACTTGTATTCTCTCCTAATACAAGTCAACAAGCCTTCCCTTTGACTGTCCAAGCCAAAGTACACTGAAGCACTTGTCCTCTATTATTCCCTATCAGTCTAATTCTGAACTCACTCAGCAACTCTCTTCTCCCTGCCTGAAATCCTAATCTTCCCTCTTCTCTCTCTCTGACAGAAAGTACAGCCTTTTTACACACTCCTTCAACTCCTCCCCTAGGGGTCTGAGCCAATCAGGAGTTAGCTGACTCCTCCCCTTGCTTCTCTGCCTTACCAAAATGTCAGCTATCCTGAGCTGCCCTCCCAACATGGAGGCCTGCTCACTGACTCCCAGGCTGCGGCCTATGAAGCAAAGGTATGAGTTCATTACATACATCAATGCCAGTACATTGGACAGGAATGGCTGAGTCGATGGACATAATGTATATTAAAGTTGTGCAGGGATTCTACGCCTCCAGAGATCCAAAGTGAATGTGTGATCATGTTTTTCTTCACTAATTTAGCTTAACTGTATGGTAATGTATGTGGGAAACATAAAAACAAAATTTAAACCCAGAAACAACATCTGTAATCATTTGGAACATCTTGCACAATATAATTCATTTCTTCATTGCCGAGGAATCACTTGTACAGTACACATTATGCCTATCTCTGTATGGCAGAATGCAAATGTAGGCTGAAAGTGCTGAGTGTTCCTCAAAAAAGAATGATATAAACACAAAAAGCAATACTTAACACATGTGTTTCAGCAGCTTTTAAAATTGCATCTACTCTTTTGGGCACGGTGCCAGTAGAACATAAGAAAGAGAAGAGGACCAAAGTTCACACGCTGTGTTCTACGCACAGCCACAACAGCCAGTGATGGAAATTTAGAACAGCTGCTTTCCAACACTGATATTCCCCAAAATCATTCCAATCTGCAAAACCTTTGCAGAATATTATTTCAATTCTATAAGGAAAAACTGGCTCAAATCAGGCATTATGCCAACCATGTACAGTAACCACCACTAAGAAACCACATTATGGTTTAAGCTTCCAAACTTAGAAAAGAGTATGTTGTTGTTGAAGTCTTTCTGTATATATCCTCCTTTGCTCATTATTGGACCCAAAGAACTGTACTTTTCCAGTACACCTCAAATTAAATAGAAGGCCATAATTCAAAAAAATAGCAGTTTGCAAATCGGACAAAGGGCCCTTCCCCAAAATATATCAAGGCAGATAATCCACAATATCTGCTTTCAACCGGATTATATGAGTCCACACTGCCATATAATCCAGTTCAATGTGGATTTTATACAACTGTGTGGAAGTGGCCTTAGAATATGGTTTATTAATCCTGGCTTGGAAGTTCCTCATAAACCATGCTGTCTCGGATGAATCAAGTCCAAGTGTAAAAATGACCCAGGGCTTGGCCTGATGCCTGAATCTACTGTTTAGATTGATGAAGCTGTGTTTTTACGTGCTCAGATAACTACTCCATCTAGTCTACCACTGTCTTGTGGCAGCAACTCTCCAATGTTTTGGTTCAAGTTTATGAACTTTTCCATCACCTGATTCTTTTTTTAACTAGAAGCATTAAGCGAGTGAACTTGAGACTTTCTGCAAGGAAAGCATTTCATTATATTCTAAGCCAGTCTGAGGGACCTTCCACACAGCCATATAACCCAGAATATCAAGGCAGAATAACCCACAATATCTGCTTTGAACTGGGTTATCTGAGTCCACATTGCCATATATTCTGGTTCAAAGCAGAAAATGTGGGATGTTATTCAGCTGTGTGGAAGGGGCCTTAGAATATATTCTCTCACCTCTCTGAAGCACCTTTTTTGGTGGGGAGGAGTTTGGAGTGGGTTGGCATATTGTCAATAATCTGTTATGTGAGTTGTGCAAATGTTGGATGATGAAAATGATGACAAAGATGATGATATCATATGATGGATAACAACCAATTTATTGGGAATGACTTTCACTAAAGTTAGCGACACTTTTCCCCAAGGAAATCATGCTCCAGATCAGGCATAAGTCTCATGCTGACTTTTACAAGGAAAGTATTTTGAACATTAGCATACCTGTACAGTCTCCTCCTTCCCCGAATATTTTCCTATTTGAGTCACTCCACTAATATAGATCCCTAAAACAGGATGCAATGGCTTCACTTCTATTTCTTGGTCATCTATGTACAACGTTACATCTGCTTCTGTTACTAAGAGACGGATTTGATGCCAACCTTCATCAAACAACATCTGGGAGATAAATGAAAACACACTGTAAATAGACACACAATATTCATATTGATAAATTGAATGAAATTAAGGTAACTGGTTTCAAATGTATATACTTACAGCCATCAATCTAAATTAACACTACAGCTATTATCTATTAAGTGAAGGCAAAGGCTTCCCCTGACATTAAGTCTAGTCATGTCTGATTCTAAGTGGTGGTGCTCATCTCCATTTCTAAGTTGAAGAGCCGACATTGTCTGTAGACACCTCCTAGGTCATGTGGCCAGCATAACTGCATAGAGCGCCATTACCTTCCCACAGTAGTGGTACCTGTTGATCTACTCACACTTGCATGTTTTTGAACTGCTAGGTTGGCTGAAGCTGGGCCTAACAGTGTGAGCTCACCCTGCTCCCCAGATTCAAACTGCCAACCTTTCAGTGAGCAAATTCAGCAGCTCAGTGGTTTAACCTGCTGTGCCACCGGTTAGTTTAGTTGTTATTATAACAACTAAAATAAATGATTCAGTTATTACATCAAGCTATTACCTGAGAAAAATCCAAAACACTGGGAAAAGAGGAATTTTATTATTATTATTAATTACAGATCAACTATAAACATTCCCAGTTTGATCTCTGCAGTTTCTGGCTGCCTTACAATTTATTTATTTATTTTATTTCCAATACTTATACCCCGCCCTTCTCCCCTGAAGGAGAGGAGAAGGCTGGCTTCACAACAGGGAGCAATTTGATGCCAGCATACAATTCAGAATAACCATTACAATTAAAATCAAGTATTAAAACCTAAATGATTAAAACAGCAATCAAAATCATGCAAGTTCAAAATAGTAGTCCAGAGTGAGTCCTTTAGTCAATCACTTTAAATTATTCTCATTATTGCACTGCTACAATTATTTCTTAAATGCTTGGTCCCATAGCCATGCCTTAAGTTTTTTTCCTGAATTACAGGATGGATGGGGCCATTCTGATTTTATTGGGGAGGGAGTTGCACAGATGAGGGGCCACCACTGAGAAGGCCATCTCTCATCCCCACCAACTGCACTTGCAAGGGTGGTGGGGCTGAGAGCAGCCCCCTCCCCCCACGAACTTAACCTCCGAGGTGGATCATAGAGGAAGATATTTTCAGACAAATAAGCTGGCCTGGAACCATTTAGGGCTTTATAGGCTAAAGCCAGCACTTTGAATTGTGCTCAGTAGTAGACTGGCAGCCAGTGGAGCTGACGCAACAGGGGGTAGTATGCTCCCAGTATGCCGCTCCAGTGAGCGATCTGGCCACCACCCGTTGGACTATCTGAAGCTTCTGAACAGTCTTCAAGGGCAACCCCATGTAAAACATCTTGCAGTAATCTATCTGAGATGTAACAAGAGCATGGACCACCATGACCCAATCAGATATCCCAAAATAACCATATGATCATATGATCCTTATAACAAAGATTGAAGTACAATTGTGCCTCCACATTTGTCACTTCAGCATTCACTGATTTGATTATTCACAATTGCTGACTCCTCTGCTAGTACCTTAAGGCTTTTTCTATGTTTTAAATGGTCAACGTCTACTAGATGTTATCACTAAAAGACTGCGATTACCTCAAAAAATGTTCTCTTGGGTTTTAAAAAAGAACACTTATGTTTTCAATTTATACTTGTAGTAGTTTTCACACAGTCTTATACTAAGAATTCAGGCATACAAGCAATCTGAAAAAAGTCATTCTCATCTATCTCAGGAGACAATGGCAAACCTCCTCTGAAGAAATCTTGCTATCCATATAATACAGTTGTTGCAAGTTGAAGCTGATTTGAAGGCACATAACAAAATAAATAGAAATAAATACATTTTCATTACCTTTACACGGGGTGCAGTAAAAGTAACAACTTGAGTGTCATTTACTAAGCTTGTTGTAGTAAATGATAATGCTTTGTCTTCTCCGTGTATAGTAACAGCTATCTGTGGCCTTCCATCCAGGCTCAGAATCCTCCACAAATCCCATGTTTTTCTGACTTTAAATCTCTGAGTAGATACAAACACATATGATGGAGGGAGTCCTTCTGGAAAGACATTCCTGGAAAGCAAGCAGTTGAATAAATGACTAAGTTCTCCAAGAATTCCAGAACAATGACTCAATACATAGTAAGGAACACAAGTCATATTACTAAGCAATAAAGATCTTTAAAAGGAAATACCTTGTCAATTCTGATAGATCAATGCGTGAAGTTACTTCATAAGCTTTTGCATTAGTAAATGGGATCTGAATTCTCTTTTTCACCTTTTTCTTCACACCTAACCCTAGGAGGATATCAAATCCTTTTTCATCCCGAGATGCCACAGGAATTCTGGTTGGACAAACTGATTCTGTAGTTCATCAAAGAAATGTTATAAACATAATTAACTGATGCAGCATAATATACAGTTTGGAAACATATGGAGTAATATTACATTCCCAGGTTAATCACCCCTCTCCTTGATCACAAAGGTGTTTTTGCTGATGTCAAACATGGTGAGAGGAAGGGAATATGGTAAGGGTGACCTTCCAACAAGGCCAAACCCATTTAATCCCAACTAGATGGTCTGGACTTCACCGTACTACAACTGTGGGATGGAGGAAAGCAGTGTAACCACCTCCAGTATCATTCATTTATAGATGTGCTCTAAGGGCCCTTCCACACAGCCATATAACCTAGAATATCAAGGCAGAAAATCCCACAATATCTTCTTTGAATTGGGCTATCTGAATCCACATGATATTCCAGTTCAAAGCAGAAAATGTGGGATATTTTTTCAGCTGTGTGGAAGGGCCTCGGTTACAGCATTAGTACAGCATTATAAACTTCATGTGACAAGCTTATCTTTTCCTGGTCTGAAGGATATACTGCACAGCTGTGAAGGGGTTTGACCACTTACTAGTGTAGTTAACATATAATGCCAGGTCATGCCTTAGTATGAAAAGGACAAGCTGCTTTGAGATTTGGGCTCATGCAAGCTCCTCACCTTGTTCTAACAGTGGTTCTCAACCTGTGTTTTGTCCTACAACTCCCAGAAATCCCAGACAGCTTACCAGCTGCTAGGATTTCTGGGAATTGAAGGCCAAAACATTTTAGGACCCACAGGTTGAGAACCACTGCTGTAGACTAAGGGCTTCCTCAGAATCAGTGTGCTGTAGTAATGTTGAACTACAACTGCGAAGACCAGGATTCAAGGTTAAGAATCACTGTTCTAGAAGGAGACGTAAAACTTCTGCCTTCAGTTTTGAATAAGATGCAGTTTTCAGATATTATTTATTTTCATTGTGTGGTATTATTTGGGAATTGTAGCTTGTTGAAAACTGGGAAATGAAGCTTTCTAACTCTGCTTCTTGCACATGAAAAAGGAGAAAAGAAAGGAAAACAGCTTAATACATGCAATGGTGCATTCCCATAGCAGTCCAGAGATGGGCAACCATGGTTCTCCAAAGTTTGTTGGATTGCAATTACAACAAACTCTATCCAATATAGCCAACAGTAGGGGATTATGGGGGGTGTCATAGTTAGTTGTCCACCTCTTCATTAAACCATGGTTTAGTGTTCTGTCTGACCCTGACCAATGCAATATTTTCAAGAACTATTTTTTAAACAAGAAGGGATGGATCATTTGACAGCCGTTGTCTAAATATCTGTACTTGTATACTTCCCATCATATAAAATAAAACAATCCTAAAGAGGCCCCATAATCTAGAGCCTAGTAAAATGTAGACATGAGAAAAAGGACAACGGAGGAATTAAACTAATTGTGTTTTGGCAACTTTGCATTTACTGACACTGCCATGGACTTGCAAGCACTTTCATTGTAAGCAAGTATGACATACTTGTGAAAAAATTCAAAGCTGGCTGAACACTAATGCTTAAACACACACAACATAATATTAGGCACTGAACCTAGAATGTTAGAAAGAGTTTTATAAATCAAATGCCAATATTTCTTTTGAGACAGAACAATATAACAAATCCCTATGATTCAGACCTGTTAGCAGATGGAGAACTGACAATTGTCCCAAAAAAGATAAGCAAATGTAAAAGAGAAGAAGTACACCAATATGCCATTTAAGGAGCCACCTGAATCTTCATGTGTCCAAACAAGCTCCCATCAACACCATCAATAGTTTACATGTAAAACGTGGTATGTGAGAACTGCCTTCTGTCAAAAGAGAATTACATTCCTTCAAGCCTTGAAAAGAAGTTGGGTTCTCACGTAGAACATATATGTCCCTGAATACAATGTTTAATATTTTGAATGTAAAAAGTCAAAGCGAAGGAAATGTTTTACACCTCTATCAGCAAATTTGGGTGACACACAGTAGCAGTGGAGTGAGGCCCACAATGGGTCCTAAACAGAGGCGGCCCTAGGTAATTTTCAACGGTAAGCAAACAGTATTTTGCCCCCCCCCCACCCCATCACTGATATATATTTTCTGTTCATCATGGGAGTTCTGTGTGCCATATTTGGTTCAATTCCATCATTGGTGGAGTTCAGAATGCTCTTTGATTGCAGGTGAACTATTCATCCCAGTAATTACAACTCGCATATGTCAAGGTCTATTTTCCCCCAAGAGCACCTCAAGAGCACCCCTGGGCAAAATCAACTATACTGCGAATGCTTACTTCGCGTAATGGGTTGAGCCACCCCTGGTCCTAAGAGAAAATAGGAGGATCCACTGAAATTACTGATCCTTACCGCAAACATATGTCTACTGAAAAAAAATGGCAATAGAAGCAGGTGAAAATATTGCGGCCCTTCCTGAAGCACTTCCTAGAGTGATCTCCATCACAAAAACATAAAATACAAACATTAATGAGAACTTTTTGGCAACTGTCTTTCTGTTCCTCTTTTTTCATTTTCTCATTTCTGAACCATACTGATAAACCTAGTGGTTTTTACAATCCTTCAAGAGGGGAGTCCTCTCTCCCATCACATATGCTCTTCTGGGTTGATAAAGCTGCTACAGAGACCATGGGAGGGTCAGCCAGATAAAGTTCCATATACTTAACAGTTAGTCTAGACTTGGGAATTGCCAGATGTGGTGATTAAAAAGTCTGCCTTGGCAGTGAGTTACATTTCCTCACTTCTTATGCAAATAGTTCTTGTTTCGTAATACCAAACCTGTGCTCCCTTTTATTGAATACAATTCTTCTTTGTTAAGTTCAGCTTGTGTGAAGTAGATAGTTTCTTGTATTTCTGATGTCAGCTCACATATGAACTAAAGATCAACATGAATATACCATGGAGCAACAAGCATGGTAGTACATATCTTCCATTATCTGTAGAGAAAGCTAGGACAATCTGGGGACTATTTGAAACCTGTCTCATCACATCAGACAGGTTGTTCTGGAAGTACATCTGCTTCATTTGGAACTATTGTCCAGAAGGGCCAGTACTAGGTTTTCCCCTCATCTTTCATGCTGCTGCCACCTCTCCTACCCAACTACAGAGCTCCACGCCTGGCCATTAATAATAAGGAGGGGGTCACTCTTCTGTCTTTGATGGTCAAGTGGCCACCCAGGCAATGGCCAGCAGAGAACAAAGGAAACAACATGGAAACAAGCCATCTCCTTTTGACCATGGATTTTGACCATGGATTGGTCTGAATCAGACCCCATCCAACTGTCCAATTGTTCAAATACCTGGAATATTCTGGAGTTTCAAGCAAACCCTGAAGCAGGGCAAAGTTAAGCCCCCCAAAAAACCTGGGATATTTACCAAAAGCTGATGTTTGTCATGAAGACTGCCAGCAGTTCATTCACATTAAGCCTAGTTTTTATTGACTCAGGGAGACAAGCCCTTGTTGCCAGTTGACTGTTGTCATTCAATAATATTACTAAGCAAACTAGACCAAATGTATTGAGTTTGCACTAGGCAATATATAATATCTACAAAACATATGTGACTGAAATAAGTGAATACACAACAGCATTGCATACATCTTAAACAAAACAAAAGACCTAGGAAGAGGCATTAATATTTACCTTCACAGAGTTTCTGTTTTATTACTTCTCTTATCCTGGATATTGCAATATAATCTTCAACATAGAACACATACGTTGATGAAGGCTTGTTGGCAATTGCTCTCAATTCATCCTCTTCAGTTTCAGAACCAACTCCAATGGCAAATAGAGTGACTTTGTTTTTTCTTGCTTCAGCCGCCACTTCTTTGACATCATCTTGTGACTTGCCATCAGTAAGAACAACAGCAATTTTTGTAAGAAATCTTGAAGATTTAGCAAATAGGTGGTCAAGCGCAAACTGAATTGCTTTCCCTGTTTGTGTATTTCCACCCAAGTATTGTATGTATTCCATTCCTCTGAGTAGGTTCTCATTGGAATCATGAAACCCAAATGGAATTTCAAGTACAGGGTAATCGCTGTACTGAACTACTCCAACCTGAATAAATTTTGGTCCTATATTAAAGTTACTTGTAATATTTACAAGCCATCTCTTGACAATTTCAAAGTTTTCAGGGCCAACGCTCCAGGAGCCATCCAAGATGAAAACTAAATCTGTTGGGGCAGTTCGGCAACCTTAAAAAAAAGAGAAGTAGAGGTTTTAAAAAGTTATCATTGTTTTAAAACAAGTTAAAATGTCTGCAATAGACAGTCTTTTCATAGCATTAGCATTCAACCATATGCCAGTCCCCAAGTTACAAACAAAATAGGTTCTGTAGATCTGTTCTTAAGATGAATTTGTTTGTAAGCTGGAACAAGGACATTTTTAAGTGTAAGTCCAGCCGTGTGTGTGTGTATGTGTGTGTGTGTATATATACACACACACATACATGTGATTTGGATAGGATAAAGAAGTGTTAACACCGCTGTAGTGTTTGTTTTGCTGTCTGTGTCCCTATTCAAAAGATTTCACCTGACTTTCTGTCCCTGTGATAATTGGATTTTGAAAAAAAATTGGCTTGTTGTAGAAACAAGGATTGCTGATAAAACTTTAGTGAAGAGCCCTTTTCCTCATGATAACTCTTTCAGGAGTAAATTTCCCTTCCTAGAGGTACATTTCTCTCACTTCCTGTTGTCTCACCCCCCCCCCCCAACCCAACCTTTGTATCTAAGTCATGTGTAAGTCAGATGTTTGTCACTTAGGGACTGCCTGTAGTTCCTACAATGGTGCTTAGCAAAGGGATCCGAATATTATTTTCTTGTTTCTTGGGAAGCTAAAATTTTCTGGTTCTGCTTCCATATTAAGCAATATATGACCCTCCACTTATCCTGGGTTAATTTTTTTTGTTTGGATGCATTTTAAATTGTATATGACACTGTTATCAGTGTCTTTGATTGAATGCAGTATAGAAAGAACTCAATCAATCCCAGAAGTCACTTCCATCCAAATAATGTTTTATGCTAAATCTATTTTGCCTTTATTTGTTAATATGCAATTTGTTTCGTGCCTTTAGATATTACCAGCATTGTTTATCGGATGTAGCAAAATACATTTTTTTCGATAGTACAGAGGGCATGGTTTAAACTATTTGAAAATCCTGAAGTGTGGTTTGTGGTTATGACAATTCACCAAAGTGAAACCGCAAGCTTTGAAATACTTTCAGAAAGTGGTCACATCTAACTACATTTAGTTGTTGCTAACCACATAGTACCTAACCATGTAACCAAATATACCAAATTAATATATCATCAAATAGTCTTGCTTCATGTCTCTCTATTCACTGTAAGTTCCCTATGTCTGCATAATGTATTATATATTGCTTACAACAAATAAGCTAAAATTGTTTGTGCTCTGGAATTCCTGACATGTATGGGAATCTGTTTGAATTCTATCATGCAAAAAGATGTATTCTAATATAGCGGTATTTGCCAACCATTTCTCAATCTTATGTCAAGAACTGCAAAACTTCAACCAATATGCAGTTTTGCTGGATAGAGGCAAATGAAAACACCTAAAAACTGGTCCCATATCACCAAGAAAAATAATTTATTTATTTATTTCATTTTCTTATTTAGTAATCTCTAAGTTTATAATGATGTTATTTTGCACCATTTTTGGCTTATGTGTTTGTTTATCATCAAGGAATTGAATGTTTACCTTTTTGTTTGGAAGCCGCCTTGAGTACCGCTGGGGAGATACGGCGGCCTATAATGTTTTTGTTTTTGTTGTTGTTGTTGTTGTTGTGTGTCAATGTTTGAAAGTCATATGTTTCTAGATATGTTGCTCAAAGACTAAATCCTTAGTGTAAGCTATGGGTCTCTCTATTCATACCCACCCCAAAGAGAATTGGTATAAAATGGTCTATTTCCTCATCTCAAGAAAACATGGGGTAGAAGGTCATTTAGAAGCCTTCTCAACAGGTCTGTTTGGGGCCTGAAATGTTCATATTTACAAAAAATATGTACATGTACATAAAAGCTACCAAGTTTTGGAGCCAAATAAGAGATTTTAAGCAATTTAGAATCATATCTAAAAATCATGGAGCTTCCACCCACACAGGGTTGCCAGTTCAAGAGCATTCCAGGTCTTGAAGTTTCTGGGCCAAAACTTGAGACCTGGTGAGATCATTAAGCATTAAATATTAATTATCAATCATTACTTCTATTTTTCTTTGCAAGTTGCACCAACAAATTGATTAAGTCTTGCAAAATTATCGCAAACAACTTCTCCACAAATGAAACTACACAAAGGTTTTTCCTCTTGCCTAGATCTTAGATCTAGATCTTAGCCCATCACAACTGGAGGCTTTGTACTCTCTCCTTATACCTGGAGGTATCCAACAAAAACTAGAGCCTCAGGAATAGGACCAAATGTGGCAGCCCATATACACTACAGAAGTCTTGTCAGCTTAAAGAAAAGGTAGACTTTAGTGGTTCTCACTAAATCTAGCTAAATAAATTAAGCAAGCAAGCTTATTTGTACGTGGTGGCTGGAGTCCAAAGCATATTATGAAGAAGCGAGCAAGTTCTACTGTGTCAAAATAGAACATGGGGCCAAATTACACAAGACACAGGACTGGCTTTTCAGAAAATTTGTAGATAATGCTTAGGCTAAGGAGAGGTTAATCTGCTCTCACACAATGTTTCCCCATCAAAATAGTGTCTCCCGAGATTGATATTAATTCTGCTGTGGAAATAAGGCAGGTATTCATATTGTTTTGGCCTTTTTCACTTTCTTGTGAACCTGAATTCCACAATTTTATTGCTGGCTTTAACCAGCGATAATGTATAAAACAGAGATGCTGTTAAGCAACTTCAGCCTTGCCACATTGCTTCTACATGGCATCATTAAATATAGCTTACTTTGAGGTGAGCAAAGTTGTGATTGATAGTAGCTGAAAACATGGAGTTTAAGCATTGCAGGGAGAAAACACCCCTTCAGATCCACCATCAAATATGATGGTTTTACAAAGCACCTAATATCCTAGGTCAAATACAATAGTGGTTTGACAAACCAGGAAAGCTGTATGAAATGAAACATACAAGAAAGGAGAGGGGGAAATATGTCACATTCCTTACTCAAGAGACCACTGGGGGACTTCCTCCCGCTTTGGACAGTGATGACCTCATCGTATGACGGGGAGGTTGTTGTGTTGGTGGCACCACAGCATCCTAGGATGCTGCTACCCAAGTTGAGCAATGGAGCCCCACATGACCCATCACATGATGTAGCCTCACTTCCAGTGGGGCTCCTTTGCTCAACTGGGATGGCAGCATCATAGGATGCTGTGTTGTCAACACAAGAGCCTCCCCGTGATCCATTTGGTACAACTGGGCTACCACAAGGACAAGCTGCATGGCAACACTTCCCCTTGTGTGATGGGGGAGACATTGCTGCTGGCTAGGCAGAATGTGGAGTGCCAGGATTGTCCTGCTACCTCACCTATTTGCCACAGAGGCTGGTGAATTGACATGGGGGACCTCATCAATGTGATGAAGTCCTTTCAGTCAAAGAGTTAAGATGAAGCAATGGGAAAACAATACTGGGCATGCAAGAAAAGTTTGAAGTGTTAATGAATAATAATAATAATAATAATAATAATAATAATAATAATAATAATGGATTGTTGTAGGTTTTTTGAGCTGTATGGCCGTGTTCTAGAAGGTCAGAGGTCACAACCTCTGAGGATGCCTGCCACAATTGCAGGTGAAACGTCAGGAGAGAATGCTTCTAGAACATGGCCATACTGCCCAAAAAACCTACAACAACCCAGTGATTCCGGCCATTAAAGCCTTTTACAATATAACAACAACAACAACAACAACAACAACAACTTTATTTTTGAATCCCGCCTCCATCTCCCCGAAGGGACTCGGGTCAGCTTACATGGGGACAAGCCTGATCAACATGGTTAAAAATAGCATATTAAAATATATAAACAACAGCATAAAACAGAATAAAACAACAACATTATAACAAAATATAAATGCAAACATCAAACCAATAAACAATGAGCTCGGTGATAATTATCAGTTTCTGGGCATGGGTGGACGGACTGGTGATGGATAAAGTGTGTAGGTGATGTGGCAGCAGTAGAGACAGAGGGCAGTATAGGATAGAGCATTATAACTTTGGGTATAGAACAACAGTAAAGTGCGAGGACAAGATTTTGAGTCCTTGTTGGGGCCAAGCTATCTGGGGAATTGTCTAGTCAAAAGGCAATCCCAGAGATGGTACGGAAGAAAAATATCTTCCCAGTTTTAGAAAAAGTAATGATCCCCTTCCTGTAAAACTGGAGGAAGAACATTGGATTCCTACCCAGCTCCCAGAATGTCTAAAGTTGTGATTGTTAAACTGTCATACTGTGCAGTTTAAATATAATATTCTAAATCTAGAGAGCTAAGTATATAAGGTGTGTATTTTTATGACAAAATATATCATTCTTTTAAAATACAGTTATGACCCCTGTATCTGTAGGACATAAATTTCTAATTTACCATGAAAGCAGGAAAGTATAGATAATAGTGAACCCAACTGAAATGAACAACTATAATCAGAAGTTACCTTAGGATCATACTGGGATACCTAGGAAATTCCCAGAGAAGAACCCTCTCTAGGAAATTGATAGATCCTTCAGGGTGCAGCTATTGTTCCAGTAGAAACATACCATGGAATCAACTGGAAGACTCCGAGAGGACCCACAGATATGGGGGCATACTGTATTTTAAGCAAAATTATTGTTACTGTTGTTGTTATTATTAATTTAAATTCAATTATTTTAAATTGTTTAAAGGAAATTATTATTATTATTATTATTATTATTATTATTATTATTATTAACTATCATCATCATCATCAAACCATTGCAATGCATGTGGCATCATATAGGAGGGGAAATGGAATCTTCTTTCAGAAAGCCTGGACTTTTCATCAATAAGCAATAGGTTAAAAATAATGTTGATACTTACTTGATCTTATATCACCATCTTCAGATGATACGTAATCATGCAACAACAACATTAAAACTGTTGAAAGAAATTTTACGTTCTTTGCCATGTATACAGTATTTCCAGCACTTCAAATCCTGAAATAAACTGTGGGGGAAAATAAATTGTTTTAAGACAATTGTATTGTATTACTCATCTGAGTAGTTAAAGCTTTCTACAAAATCAGTTCCTGAGTAACTTGAACATTCTTATCCCTTGATTTTAATTGTGATGGATGAGAAATGGCTATAACATAAAACTAAACTGTCTGCACATATGTCTAAAGGAGTATCATCATAAGAAGTTAAAATTTGCAATAATCAGAGGTAATAGACTAGAACAAGAAGCTTTCTTTGATTTTACCTTACTTAATTTGCCATTAGGAGGCACAAAGTTTATCATAATAATAAAGGATCATATACAAAATTCTATTTATTTAATCACCTACAAGGATTTATGGATACATTGGAGAAAGCATCCCATTTTCCCTATTCTGTAGCAGTTACTTAAAGTGATAAACCTTAAGATAAATGCAATATATGTCCAATTCATAGATCATCAAAACAAATGCCACTGCCTGGAGCCTAGCCTGAGCTGTTTAAAAGATATCCAAGGACCTTATCACATTGGGATATACTCTGTTTGTATCAGTATTCATTCCATATTCTTTTAGCATGAGGTGCATTCTGTATTCAGACAGGATGCACACTGATGCCATCACATCCTATTCTATGTTTTGAAAACACCGTGCTTTGGCTGGCTCCTTCCAATCCATTCAAATGCCTTCCTATGTCACGTATTATATATTTTTTCCTAATATTGTGCAGTGATGTGGCCTGGATGTCCTGAACTACAATTCTCACAAGATTTTAGCTGATAGAATGCATACTGATCACATGTATAAACAGCACCTCAGAACTGTATTAAATAAAAAATACAATTAGAATCCCATCTGCAATTAATCTGTTTCTGTGATGCTTTGCAAAAAGATTCCAATGGATTACTGATGAATAGGACAAACATTATGTGATAGGACATGTTCAAAATTGGATTGAAAGAGTCTCAGAAACAAAGCATATCCTACATCAGGTATGGGCAAACCCAGTCCCAGGGGCCAGATGCAGCCCTTAGACTCTTTTCTCGGGATCTCCTCTCTCTCACCCAGGCATGTAGCCGGGGGGGGGGGGGGGGGGGGGCTTGAGGGGATTCACCCCCCCCCCCCGAAATTCTCATGGTGGTTGCGAAAAGGCCTTACTGGTACATTATTTAAACTATTATGTTTATTCATATCATGATCTGATCACCATATCAATATATCCCATATGCATGGGGGTATTGGGGTAATGATACAAAAGATTTGCTAGGGTAGACCCTCTTTCACTCAGACTCAGCCCCCCCCCAAACAAACTCACCCCCCCCCCCGGAATCAAAATCCTGGTCTGATGAGGTATGCTCTATCTACTTCTTTCTTTCTTTCCTTCCTTCTCTCTTTCCTCCTTCCCCTTCCCTCCCTCCTTTCTCCTTCCTTTCCCCTTTCTCCTCTTCCTCCTTCCCCCTCTTCCTTCCCTCCCTCTTTCTCCTTCCTCTTTCCTTCCACCTTTTCATTCTTCCTTCCTTCTCTCCCTCTTTCTCATTCCTTCCTTTTTATATTTCCTTCCTTCTCTTTCCTTTTTCCTTCCCTTCCTTCCATCCTTCTCTTCTTTCCTTCCTTCTTTTTCCTTCCTCCTTCCTTTTCATCCTTCTTCCTTTTTCTTTCCTCTTCCCCTCTTTCCTCTCCTTTCTGCCCTCTTTCTCCTTTCATCCTTCCTTTTCATCCTTCCTTTCTTTATTCCCTTGCTCCCTCTTTTTCCTTCCTCTTTCCCTTTCATCCTTCCTTCCTTGCCTTTTCTCTTCCTTTCTCTTTCCTTCCTTCCCTCTTTCCCCCCTCCTTCCCTATCTCCCTCTTTCTCCTTCCATCCTTCCCTTCCTGTCTCTTTCCTTCCTCCTTCCTTTTCCTCCTCCTTCATCCTTCCTTTTCTTCCTTCCATCAGCAGCCAGCAGGGAGTAGTTGCATGTGGCCACCAAGTTTGAAAGTTTGCCCATACCTGTCCTACATTGATGTGAGAACAGCAAAACAAGAAGAAAATATGACTGCACATAGCCCAAATAATAAACTCCCACACGAATCCAACTTACAGAAGATGGTTTGTCAGTTTGAATATTGTTTCCAGACTATCTGCTGAGCTGGTTCTAATATAACATGATAATCATACCAAATTACAGCCTACAGTTAGAGTCGAGTAGTAGGAAATTGAATTAGCTGTTGAGCTAATCAAAGCCAGCTCCACGTTTTCAGAGGCTCTTAGGTAAGATCCCTGCTGTGAGATGCCTTCTACATGCACACAAGTGAAAGAAGCACTGGTAGGGGATGACCCCCTATCTTGCCATCAGTTCTCACCCACTCATTTCCATTCAATGATTAGATAAGACAGGTAGTTGGCAACACAGGTATCCTACTGATGCATAGGCCTTGGCTTCAGTTCAGCAGTACTGATCTCCAGATGAATCCCTGCACTCAAATCTACTGTACAGACTTTTAGGTTCTCCCAGAATGGATTAAGCTTGTGCCTTTTGTCCCTCTGTTCAGACAAGAGGATGGTTCCTTTTTTTGATAAGAGTTAAGGTATGGTACAGTTGGCCAATTCATCCATCAAATGCTTATATATGTATGGCAAAATGGTGTCTTGAGATGGTTTTTAAGCAACTTTTAATGTGCATATAAGTGATTTTAATGTTTGCATATATTTATGGTTTTATGTCCCAGCATTGAATGTTTGCTGTATATATGTTGTGCTCCGCCCTGAGTCCCCTGCAGGGTGAGAAGGGTTGAATATAAATTTATATATATATATTCAAAGAGCAAGCCTTGAGTTTATTATTTTATATAAGGGGTACCATTTATTGCACCACTACATATGGGGGCATGCGCATCCCTTTATTTTGGTATTGGGGGCGGAGGGACCTGGAGCTGAATCCCAATTGATATCAAGGGACCACTGTACTTACAACGACCCTTGGGTAAGTCGATCCAGGTTTTGACAATCTATTTTTTTACTAAAAAGTCTAGACTTATACATGGGTAAACTGCAACACAATTTCTGGGGGTCAACCAAGGACTCTGAATCAGAGTGCCTTATTAAAGACGAAAAATTAAACCTATTGTATTTATCGAACATGTGCATAGATGCATCCCATCACCTTTATACGTCCTTCCCTCATTCTCACCCCACCCCAGTTCACAATGTAATCCTCTCCGGACAGGGATCAGTCATTTTTGCTTATGTTCCACTATGAAACAAAACATCCCATGATAAATGAATTGTTCTTGATGGTTTATGAAACAGTAGTGCTGTGCAAAGTAGTGGTCCCTGGACTATTGCTGGTTCCTGAGTCTTAGATGGACAGACCCAGGTGAGTTTTCGGGAAAGAATTAATAACTGTAGCCAATGGGCACAGATATACTGCTGGTCCTTGACACGTTGAAAAAAAAATACCATTACTGGTCTCGCACATCAGACAGCTCAAGAAGCACTGAGTAAAAAACATTTCTGGGTTGTTGTAGGTTTTTTTGGGCTATATGGCCACGTTCAACTATTTCAACTATTTTACTCAAAGCAATGGATAAATGCAAAGTGCTTCCATTCATTAAAAATACTTTTTTAAAAACTGAGCTCTGTAAACAACTCCTACTGACATTTTTCTAAAGGTACAATTGTTTACATAAAGACTGGTAATTAGTAGCATTGCCAATGGTTTATTGTGAAACATCTGAGAACCCACTTAAAAGTGATGCCAAGTTTGAGTCTGGTTATGCAAAACTTCCTCAGGGCTCAGGTATATAAAAACAAATAACCATTTCCTTTTCTTTGTGAAGAGCGGCCAAATGGACAGAATGAAAAGAACGCCATTCATTTTCCATTAGAGACTATGCAACCATGCAAATAGAGGAAGACTGCCGGCTAAAGTTGCCTATGAGCCCAGAAAAAAAGCTGAAGAAGGGAAAAATAACTTTGCAAACTTTGACATGCCTTCGATGCTTGAATTTTATGGGAAATTATAAGCTTTAGGGAAACGTGCTAATTGTTCTGTATACTGAATGAAGCGTGCTACATTTGCATATTTGAGGGGTCAGACTGTCCTATCTGAAACAACAAACATGGTTTAATAAACAACTGGTATATGGATTCTTTGTAAATTTCTGTCTCACATTAACTTCAGAATACCCAGTGTTATCCTTGAACCACTCTGACTGTAGCAATACTGTGACTCCTATAGATATTATAGATATAGAATTTGACCTAAATTAGAAAGAGACAATATCTCCTTGGCATGATTTGGAATCACCTTGTTTTTGGAGAGTTTCTTCGGTTCATCTGTCCTTCAAAAATTCTCTCCTGGAGTCTGTACTTATAATGCTATGCTGTACATGCTACAACCATATAATATCATATTGTGTCTTGGGAATCATAATATAGCCTCACCTTGACCACACCCACTGCCCCTTGAGATAAAGAGAAGGCTTTAGTACACAATGAGGACAGACAATGAGGACCAGCCTCTGGCTGGTGACACTTTATCGCTTGGCCATTGGGCATATTTATGCCTGCACTTTCAATGATTTTTCCCTTCTTCAGTGCCACTGTCGAACATTTGTCCATACCAAACTCCATGTTGATATCAGTGCTAAAGATTCGGACAGTGTTAGTCAGAGACTGGATTTCAGTTTCGGTTTTCCCATACAACTTCAGGTCATCCATGTACAGCAGATATGAAATTTTGTGAGATTTCTTAATGTTTGATAGACCAGTTTTGTTTATTATTATTATTATTATTAGTAGTAGTAGTAGTAGTAGTAGTAGTATTTACCCTTTTTATTCTCCTCCTTTCTTTACCCCAAAGGGGACTCAAGCTGGCTTACATATGGCAATTATTCAATGACTTGCAACTCATACAGACATTAAAAACTTAAAATCAGTTGAGTTAAAATTGATACAAGTTAAGCATTTTAAAGTGGAATCCTTGGCATGCGAGTGTGGAGAAGAGCAAACCACTGACCACCTGCTGCAGTG